TTTTTTTTTTTTTTTTGCTTCTTGACTGTTGTCTCTGCAGTATTTACTTTCTTACTTGCTTCTTCTATCATTTGCATCATCTTCTGTAGCTGTTCAGTAACTCCATATCAACATATTTCTTCTGGTTCTCTCTATATGAGGTATTCATTGGGGCTGTTTTTTTAGGAGAGAGGGGTTTTGTTTGTTTGTTTTTACAATAACCGAAGCAATCTACTGCTTTGACATTATGTGAATCTTTTCTTAATAGGTGTTAGGTTGTTGTAACTATATAGTGATCAAGAGTATGGCAGTGTTCTGTGAAGGACCTGTCTATTTTTGCTTACTTACTTTCTTACCCAAAAAGGACTCATCTTTTCTCACAATATCAAATAGTATTTTGTTGCCATTCATCAGATTTTCAGTGTCTCATGTTTGAGAAGTGAACTAACTGTTGGTACTACTCCCTAGTCTCTGTTAATTTAGAAGCTTTGCTAAAATCTGTCCACCATATTAATATTTAACATATTGACAATAGTGTCATAGAAACACAAACCCCTAGAGTAAGACAAACTAATAGACAGGTGATCTATGAGATGTTGGGTTTGTTTGTTTGTTTGTTTGAGATGTTGTTTTTACATGCTCTCTAGTCAACTGTGACTCACAGCAACCCATGTTATATGCTGTCAGGTCAGAACTAACTAATAGCTGAACTTCCATTAGGTTTTCAAATACAGTAAATAATACTGGGGAAGATTGCCCATCTTTCTTCCACCAAGCAGCTGGTAGATTTGAACTGTGTGCCTTTGGAATTGTACTGCATCTTCTTTCCACTAGACCACCAGAGCTTCTGTGTAGCAACCCTGTGAATAGAAAATCTGAACCCTGCGCTATCATTTGTTGTTTTGACACTTAAACCCATTGGTACTGTCACTGTGTCAATCAACCTTGTAGATCTTTTTCTCTTATTCTTACTCTCCACCTTTCTTTTTCTTTTCCTCTCCACCTTTCCAAGCATAATGTCCTTCTTCAAGGATAAGTAGAGTTATTGATGCATTTCAGACATTAAGTCAAATGAACAAACTAAAAGTTTCATCAGCTTTCAAAGAGTAGAAGGAATAGATGAGTATAAAGGAAATATAATGAGCCCAGTACGCAACAAGAAAAAAGACTTTGAAACTGCCGGAAAGCAGAATAGAAAGCACAAATCAGAATAACTGGCCCCCCAAAATAAAAATATATCAGTGATCATAAGAAATATAAAGAGTTGGAATTTGCCAGGTGAAATACAGCTATAAGATTAGATTCAGTCTCTCTGCCTCTCCTCCCTCCTCCTCTCTTTCTGTCTTTTCTCTCTACCAATACGCTGTTGTTATAGAAGATATGGCCCACTTAATCTTTTAGTATGTAATTAAAAAATAATATATTACAACAAATTCAGCTTAAATCAAGAATGGAAGAGTAATTCTTGGAAAAACTTGGAAAATTTGTCAATTTCTCATGTTGATTTGTCAGGATAAAAAAACTGTACTTCTCACAGAGGCAGAAGGGAACTTTTGAGAAAATGCATTCTCTTGTGCATCTGCTGAGTTCTTTTCATCACTAATGGAGAATGCATTATTTAATTGAGATATTTACTTAACTGAAAGGAACCCCAGGGCACAGTGCTTAAGCACTCAGATGTTAACCTGGAGTTAGAAGGACCTGCCATTCAGTGGGAGAAAGTTGTGACAGTCTGTTTCTCTAAAGGTTTGCAGCCTTGAAATCCCTGTGGATTTCTCTCCAACATCCTACAAGGTTTCTGAATCAGAAATGACTTGGCAGCAATGGATTTTATTTTGGATTTATGTGTCTCTTCTCTCTGCATCCATACTGACCAGGGCTGAACCTTTGATAACCACAAGTCACTTTAGCCCTGACTCAACCCTAGATACTCTTACACAAAATTTCCTGGACCTCCACTCTCGATGTTAAAAAAGGAAGCACATTATCACTGCTGATGAAAGTTTCCCTTTTGAAGTGGAACAATCAGTTCTATTTCCTATCCTTTGGCCAGGTGTCCTCAGACAGAATTGTTTATAAAATTATTATTTTCCTTCTTTGTCATACTCATACAAACCAATTTCAGTGATGACGGATTCATAGTAAATGGCCTTTGTCATAATTAGACAACAATCTTGTGACAGGATAAAGCTTAAAATTGCTCTCTTTGTGAAATGAGCACGTCTTTGTTTGCAGCATTAACTCAGTTCCCATTGCCATACTGGCAGCAGAATTACCAGAGCAGTTTGGTGACTGGGTTGAATTTTTCCTACAGGAATCATGTAGCTATACAGCTGCAGAAACGCAAATTCACTCCCCCATTGTCGGTTTTTTGACAGCTTTTTCTGTAGAACAGTTTGAAGAGTGGAGAGCCCTGTTTCTGAGACAGAGAAGTGTTTTCACACCTGAAGTGTAATTTCACACCTTGTGTTTCTCAGCAGATAAGTGCATAAAATAACACATCAAACCGGAATAGAAAAAAGATCAACATAGAAAGAAAACTGCAGGTTGTAATTTGTTTCCTATCTTACAATGCTCTTGAAGAGAACAGTAAAATTACAGAGATCTGGGTTTACACTTTTAAAAGTTTGACTGGTTGTTAGGTAGAAAAGTAAACACTAATCAGCCTGCAGCCTACATTGAAAAGAATGTATAGAATGATAGGATTCAGAGAACACCCCAACATTTATATTGTTGAAGACTGGGACATGCTTCAATTAGGGCTACAACAGTGTAGATAGGAGGTTGGTCAAGAAATTGCTTATCACCTAGTCTAATAATTGTTTTAAAATAAATATTCATCATTATTGTCTTTGAGATGATTCATTCAAGAATTTTAGCACAAATAATACATTGAGTTAGTACAGTTTGGATTTTTATTTTCTTTCTATAAATGACTACACCTCTCTTATTAATAATTTTCTAGAATATTGCAGAGATTATAAATCCAAGAATTCCGTTTCACCGATAAGTTTGAAATTTTGAGGTTAAGAAAACTGAATTCTCTCACTAGTCACCACCGATCATTTAAAAATATTTATTGAAGATCTGCCGTATGGTAGTTCATGTATTTTATAACCAGGGTTGCTCCTTAAAAATGAAGATGATGAGACCTCAGGTGACTTACTTTGGATATCAGGGAAGAACAATTGCTAGAAAAGTATACATAGATGATAAAGTAGGGGGCTGGTGAAGGTGAAGGATGCCCTTGGTGAGATAGATTGATGCAGTGGCTGAAACAGTGGACTCAAACATAGGTGGTGCAGGACTGGGCAACATTTTACTCTATTGTACATAAGGGTTCTGTGAGTCAGAGTCAACTGGATGGCATATAAATACCACCACAACCGCCACATAGGAGGCAGGAGGCAAAAAAAGTAGGGAAACCAGTAATAAACAAGGTAATCTTTCTCCCTGCCTTTGGAGAACTTACAGGCTTGTAGACAAGATAACAAGTAATGCTTATTATGCTAAATTGTGGGCAGTTAATAAGTCAGAACCAACTCTTAGCTGACTCTCCAGTGTGTTTTTAGAAGTTATAAAATCACAAGGGAGGAAACTGACCATTTTTCTCCCATGGAGCATCTGGTGGATTTGAACTGTCTTTGAGTAGGCAGCAGAGTTCCTTACCACTAGGCTACCAGTGATTCATACATTCTAAGTGCCCAAATAGACTATAACTGGTAAACTGTCCAGAGTCTCCACTTGCTTATTCAGCCTGTCCATGGGTATGGTTTTCTTGAGCTCATTGAACCTTTTCCTTCTGAACCCCAAATCTTACTTATCCTATAATCCATTCTCTTACTGATTAACTAAATCACAGCTGGATTTTTATGACGCTTACCAAAGGATTATCTGAATTAGAGCTTAGGTGGCCAAGCAAGGATTCTTAGATAAAGTGATACTTATATTTAATGAAGAGAAATGATATGAAGGTAGGGCATCAGGACTTTGATAGGATATTATTTAGGCAAGAAATAGCATGTATAAAAGTGAACAGTACAAAGAATGCACAACAGATCATTTGGAAAGCAGGATTTTATGAGGAGGAATGTGACATCAAGATTGGAGGCAGACTCATCAACAAACCTACATTTCTAGATGACACAATCTTGCTTGCTGAAACTGTAGACAAACTGAAGGGCTTGCTGAAGAAAGTCAAAGACTGTAGTCTTCATTGTAGATTGAAGCTCAACATCAAGAAGTCAAAGGTTCTCACCACTGGGCCAACTGTTCCATGATATCATCTCCATGATTGATGGAGAAGAGATTGAGATTGTTAACAATTACAGCTTGCTCAGCTCCATGATCAGTACTCATAACACCAGCACTCAGGAAATCAAAAGATGAACTGCATTGGGAAAACACTGAGAGAACATTGAAGCTGTACGCTTTTGGCGTGAGGGCATTTGAGCATGAGATATGTGTGGGGTGTTCAAGAGAAGATGCTTGATATTTGTACGGGTTTTGGTTTGGGAAAGAGGTCTAGCTAGAACTACTGATGTGATAATTGTCATGAAATCCATGGGAATGGGTGAAATGTCCCAATGAATATATAGCAAATAAGGAGAGAAGACTGTGGCATAAATCAGCATTTTAGCTATGGGAAAAAACTGAACTATGAAACAAAATGTGTCCGTTTATTGTATTATATAAAATGAAGATGAATAACTTTGCGTGTCCACAGGCATTTGCCCATGTTCCTCTGCATGCCTACACCACATGACTTGAAGAGGTTCTAATGAATTTAACCAATACTCTGGATGATGGGCAACATGAAATGTGAAGCATCCAAGGGAATAGTCTCTTTCCTTCACAGTTCATGTAAGGCAAGTTAGTTCAACAGAAATACCAGGCATAAGGATGCTGGTCAGTATACTCAAAGGAAAAATGGAAATTTGCAGCTTGTGTTGTAATACAATTAAGCTAGCAAAACACTGATGTTTTCCCTCTTCCACCCTCCCCATTTTTCTTTTTCTTAGATACCTATGGAAAGCTCTTTCTCCTCAATTCTGTGGGTCAAGAGATGTCCCGATGCAAGACATCTATTCGACGTGGCCAGCCCAATCCAGTCTATAAGGAAACCTTTGTATTCCAGGTGGCTCTCTTTCAGCTCTCTGATGTGACATTGATGGTTTCAGTATATAATAGGCGTACTATGAAACGTAAAGAGATGATTGGTTGGATTGCTTTGGGCCAGAATAGCAGTGGAGAGGAAGAACAAGACCATTGGGAAGAAATGAAGGAAACCAAAGGGCAGCAGGTCTGCAGATGGCATACCTTGCTTGAATCCTAGTTTCACCACAGGGTTTGTGTGCTGTATTTTCCTTGGTCAGTTGTGCTCCTGACTCCTGCCACCGCATCAGTGCATCTTGATGACCTTTTAAAGACAAACAGAAAATGGGAGTTCTGCTGACCATTAAGAATAGTAGGTGAGAAGCTTTCAGGTTTCTCAGAGATTTGATGTGGTTTTAAATATTGTCATTTTCTTTTCCCCAATTACCTACTCAATCAAGTGTACCATATGGAAAATGTTACCATAGTTGAAACTGGTGATGATGAAATAATTTGTGCTAAGATAGCGAATTTTATTCAAATCAGGGAATATCAGCTTCTTCCTCCATTGTGTCTGATGAAAACCCAAGATTACAAAGGAGCTCTTTAGTATTACTATTTGCAACCACTTTTCTCTAGAAATCAGAATTTCCTTGATGATGATGCACAAAATTAAGTTACGGAAATTAATTTGGTCTTGAGGCTGATAGAAAAGGACTATCATCCACAAATCCCTACTTAACATTCTTCTCTTTTTCAAAAACTTTCTTTTATTTACCTAATAAAAGTAAAAAAGGGTTAGGAACTGGCACTTTAAAATAATATTTGTACTAAATACCTCTTCTGTTTCATTTATACAAGGAGGTTTTCTGTGGTATTTAGCTAGATGAATCATTTTGAAGCTAAAAGAGACTTTTAAAAGAACATTGTTGTATTACAGCCTGTCTCCTTTTGAATATATAAAATTTCAGACTTACAGCTTCCGAGTTTTTTATGCTATCTTTCTCACCTAATGAATTCTTACTGAATGAGAAGAAAACAAACAGAACACCAACTATTTAAGTTGTGGACTTATCCATGACTCAGTTTTTTCTTAATTCTATGTTCTCCTTGTGAATTATGCTTTTTCTATATTTACTTATACATACATATATATTTTGAATGTACTCTTGCATGTAAATCAGATTCTTTTTATGCCATATTTTTAATCATAAGAGCTTAGCAAATTGTACACAATGGGTCTTTAATAAATACTCTATTTGCTGTTAGAAATAGCTGTTACAAAACCTATGAATGAAGAAATATTTTCCGCTTGTATGACATGAAACTAAATTTGTCTTTGAGCATCTGAAGTGCCTCTAACTGTCATTTTTCATGGCATTTGCAGCAACAGATTATTAGTCATTCCTTACATTCCAGGCACATGCTATTGAGAACACTGATGTTGTATGGTTATTAGCATGAGGTTTTATTTATGAGTGACTTTTACAGATATATGCAGTGCATGTTCATTTTTCTTTATTATTACCTTAGCGCCTTTAATTTCAATTACCTTCCGCTGCCAGAGATAAGAAAAGGGGTGGTATTCAACATTTTGTGCATTTAACATTGTGCCCAACATTCAGCTCTTCTGAGCAAATTGCTCAGTCGTTTATTTTTAGCTTTTATGTTTCATTGTTGACTTTTTCCTGTCTGTGGGAAGAGTGATAGCTTGTGATGGATGTGTACAGTTTAAAACACATAACTCCATCTCAGCTCTACATTTTGACAGATTGTAAGCGTAGGTTGCAACACTTGAAGAACATATTTATTCCTTGCAGTGTGTAATGGTTATCCTGACTAGACTAGACCGGGGCACTGGTTAACTCTACTATGATTTCAGGCTTCAACCGATGAGAGATGTGATTTTATATTGGTAGTGTAAAAATTTGCAGAATAAATGAATATTTTAATTTCTTTCCAGGCCATCGTGGTTTCCTATGCAAGGCTGCTCAGTCATTGAGAATAAGTAATAAAACCACGCTCCTTTGGGTTTTTACTCTACCTTTCTTTAGAAGGCCTCAAAGTGCTTTCCCAACATTATATCCATTAACTGCTGAGTGGTCTTTGCAGCGTGGCTGTGACATCAAGTGGAACTGAGTGCAATTGATTAAGTAGTGGCACAGAGAATTGGCTTTTCACATCCCTTACTCTCTTTATGCCCTTGTGTTTGAAGGGAAGTGAAGCAGCCTCGTTATGCTTTCCTTTATGCAGTGACATAAAAGCAGCATTCACTTTAAAATTTACATTTGAAAAAAATCTGCATATACTGTACAGACAGCCCAGGGGTGTTTTTCCCTCTCTCTCTCTCCCTCATATTTTTCTATTCTACATTTTGCTTGTTAGATTCTGCCCAGTTATCACCTGTGCTTCATTTTCTACTGCTCCAACCTACCCATTGTAAACTATTTTCTTACTGGTGAAGTGGAGATACCCTTGCATGTTTGATTTGTTTTCCAGCAGTCTGCTTATGACCCACTTTATAGAACCATGCATCAATGTAGAGGAAGGGCTGCTTCCAAAGCCTTTTTTTTTTCATATTACCGATATCAACACTGGTGCTATTCACCGTGTAGAATGCGTATACATCTGACTATATAGCAGCATTCATCATAAGTCTGATTATGTAAAATCATATTTACAAGATGCATTAAAATATGGGCTGATTTTTTACGTTGATTTGAAATTCTGGTTTAGTAAGATCTCTTGATTTGGTGTATTTACACTCTTATTCTTTTTCTTGGCAAAGTCTAGACACAAATACATTTCACATGTTTTTCACTCAAGCTTTTACATCTACATTTGCTTCTCAAAAGAATTATGAGAGATAATTAGTTGGTTCTGCAGCGAAAAAGCTCCTTCTGCCTATTTCGTCTAACTAATGGTGAATATCTCATAGGGACATTTGAAACTGAAGAAATGTTAATTTTTGTTCTTTGAGTAGTTCTTTCAGTGATGTTTTTCCTGAAGAGCATGCTTTTTCAATACTATTGTGGAGGGTGCATGAGACACTCGGTGTTTGGAAATTTGCTTTATAGTGTGCCTTCTTTCAGGGAATTCGTTTACACTCTCCTGGAAAGTGCTGGTTTCACCAATCACAGTGATGATGGCTATACTCCTTGCTCTCTTCTGACTATTGTTGGATGTTTAAATGGACCATTCACCAGGCAGCTGTGCACCTGCTCTCATGTCCCAGCCCTTCACTGGCTCCAGTGTGATGCACAGTTGTTTTGGACCCTGTTTTTGCTGATGCTGCCTAAGGCAGGTCTTGCCTTCCTTAATAATTTGAAATGCTTTTGGATGTATTACATTTGCAATTTCCACAGGCACAGTGCTTTGAGAAAGATTCATGACAAATTGAAAGGAGAAAAGAGAATATAGTATTGCATTATCAGTCACTTTTTCGGATCGCCTTTGAGTTTATTCCAATTTATGGGTACCCCATGTGTGAGAGTAGAACTGGGTACCACAAGGCTTTCAATGACTGATTTTTTGTATTTAGATGGCGGGCTTTTCTTTTAAGGTATTTTTGGCTGCATTGGAAACTCCAGTCTTTTGATTAGCATCCAAGTGCGTTAACTATTTTCACCATCCAGAGTGTTAACTCCAGTCCTCTGTCAGTGAAAGTTAAGTAATGGATCTCACATGTTGTTTCTAAAGTTCTGAGAGCTACAGTGAGCTTGAACATAGCCTCTGTCTTCTTAATATACAGGGTTCCCAGTATTTTCCATATTGTAGTCACTTCTTGGTCAGTCACTGCCCATCTCACTCCAGGTGAACTATATTATCTTACTTGAAACTAAACTATTCCTCCCCCCACCCTTTCTTTCTTGGAAAGGAAAACCTTGTTTAAATTGAAGCTACCATCAGGATAGGTGAAAGGGCTTCTTGATAACCACCAAGTTAATTGTTGGCCTGCTGTGAACATTGAACTGTGAGTTTCCCAAAAGCCTACCTGTCAATTCATTTCTAGCAGAAGACGCAGTATGTTTTGATCAGAAGAGTAAATAGGAAAGGTTTATTTGTAAATGGCCCAAAGTCAAATGGAAGCATATTCTTCAGTGAGAAAAAAAAAAAACACATGTGCTATCTTTTCTGGTTTTGAAAAGGTTGTTTCAGTTGATCTAGGACCAAAAAAAGCTAATGATAATAACTCAACAATAGCAGATATCTTTAAATGAGTAGTTTTAAATTTAATAATTTCATTATTAATTCATCCATAACTTACATTAGAGTTCACTGTTTGTGTTTTGTGGATTTTGACTAATGTGTAATATCATATAGCAACAATCACAGTATCATACAGAATAGTTTCATTGCAACAGTGCCCTGACTTTTACCTATTCATCCTTCTAACGGATACTCAATGATTTTAAGACAGATGTTGTCTTACAATATAATTGTTGAGTTTATTCCAAAGAATAATCCAAGTAAAACAACCAAACAAAATAGTGAATAAACAAGTATCATGAAGTTGTGTATGGAAGAATTAAAGAGTAAATCTTTACACAGGCTACCTTTAACTCCTCCCGCATATGGTCAAGAGGAGTAGACTAATGGACCAAAAGACATTTAAGGTTGATGAGCTATCATTTTTGACAGCATGTGGAATTCTGAGAAATACTAACAGATGAGAGGAATTGGAACAGGCCCAACATGACACAATAAAGTCACAGCCTGTAGTACTTAGCCTGGGTTTGAGTTCAATTCTCCTTATTGTGTGGCCTTAAGAAAATTACTCTATCATCCTGTCCCCCAGGGTCTTCAACTGGAAAATATAAATAATACCTACCTCATAAGATTATTTTTAAAATGATGTTACTGAACCAACCAGTGTAATGTTCCCAGCACAGTGCTTGGCCTAAAGTAAGCGTTCGTTTCTCATAATAATGTTTCACCAAGCAAAAACTCTGTAGGATTTTTTTTTCCTTTTCTTTCTTTCTAATGAAATTAAGTGGGGGGAAGTCTCTGAAAACCCGCTGGAGGGTCAGCTGTGAGTTGACTTTGACTCAACAGTACTTAACAACAACAGTGAAAATAACACAAAAGAAAAACAATAATAGTGTTTAATACTTTTTTTAAAGTATGGTTTAAGAAGTCTGTGTAGACTTACAAATAAAAATTTTCAGAATTATCCAAGCTAAAACTGCTGTATGGAGGCAGTTGAATTTTGATAAATCCCAGCTAACTTATTTTAGAGAT